TAAGATAAAAATAGATTCTAGGTCAAAGATATAATTTGGAATTATTATACTACCAAATCAAAGATACAATTTGAAATTATTATGCCACTAACTGGTCCTTTGGGACTGTACTTTTGTAAAGTGAATTTGCTCGTTTGTATGCTTTTACAGCCAATCACAATAGTATATACTATAAATAGTATAGAATACGTGAGAGAAAAACATAGCTTATACATTTTTTCTATCTATATCACGTTTACGGAAATAAAGTTGAAGAAGTACTATTAATCAAATTAAGGTGACAAATTTTAGGAACCCATCATTCTCCAACCGACATTTAAAGACCTCTTAAAAAAAAACTAATGTATTTCACAGTGGACGCAGCTCTAAACAATAACAAAAGGTTCTTTGGAATTCTATTTTCGTTTGTACCAAATTGATATATCCTTTTGTTGCAAAAATTTATATTTGCACATTCTTCCTTGAACTACATCTACTTCGAATTTAATTAATATATGTAAAGACGCAAAAATTAATGCTCAGACGAGAACTACGTCTTCTAGTAATCGAATAACGTATAGCAATTAAGTATATTGCATATAACTTTAGCATAATCAACTCATTATATACGAACTTACATCATAAGAATCGAAACATTTATTTGGTCCTCTCCAGACGCGGGTTCATTTATGTTAAATGTAAAATATGTATTTTCTTTTCATGTATATTAATGTACACAATACGTGTTACATTTTAATCAATTTAGTATTTGAATTACTGATAATAATTTCTATATATATATAGAAAATATTTACTCAAACGGTGCAGCGAATCACAATACGCGGTACTGTATAACTACATACCTATTAGAACATTATAAATAATGTAAACAGCATGTTTGCACTCTGTGAGAATGAGGTTATTGCAGACACCATAACATGCTGACCTATATTGCATTACTTCCAATACTATTACTGGAAATAGCAAATGACTGATTATGTATTTATTTGGAACGATCCCCCAGATACATTAATAGAATCATGAACGTGACTGCCTTAACAACACATATACTACGCTTTGCCATTTCTAATGTCTTATAGTCACCAATAATGGAAAAGCTTAAGAGTTTTACTTCTGTGCCCTAAAATTTCACTAGATACCATATCTCATTAGTGCATCATTTATAATTAGTGCAATAGAAGTATTCACATAAAGGACTATACATAAAGTCGCCCTCTTGTAAAGAACTAAAGTGTATTTATAATGGGTTCATTTTTGCGGTTATATTAACTACTCTTTCTACTACATATGATTTTAGTCAACAGAGCGAGACAACGTATATATGATTACTTCATATCAGAAATAAAAACAGCTCAGCTGTTAACACTACTACCGTTTCTATAAATTTAAACAAGTGACTTCAGTGAGTCCCACAATTCAATAATAATTTCAAAATCCAACACAATGAACAATGGAATGATCCAATCACTACGAATTGAAATGCAACGTAAGTAACAAAACAGATTTTATCGAATTACTAACTGCAAGTGGCTGAAATCAAGCACATCTCTTTATAGTTTCTATAACAGAATTTGAAGTCAAACACTCACTTTCATTCTCCTCCATTTCTGTAGCATCCTAGTAAAGACTACACACCCATATTTCGTAGTTTATGATTGTTGTACATACATTAAATCACATGATACGAACACTCCCAGAAGCCCATTCCTTACTAACGTTGTTCGCGTGACTATCACAACCAGCCACGATACTGTGGATAGGCGGATCGATACTGAAGAAGGTATGCCGGCTGAACTTCTGATATAACCAGTTTTCATTTCAAGGACAATGTGGTATAAATTAGGCTACTCTGAGCAAAGCTTTCGGAACGTATAAACTTAGTGATCTGAGCGTAGTGGCTCGATAAACACCATAACATATCAAAAATCAGTAATCCGTTCTATGCTACCAAAACCCCAGTATTCAGTATTAAAGAATTTTCTGAAACTTCTGCAAGTTCGGAAGCTTAAAGACTATATTGTATTGAATTACACAAAAAAAAATGAAAATTATTCCGTATTATCCCAATAGAATAAATTATCAAAAAAAAAAAAATAAGCGAAAATAAAAACATTCGTTTATTAACTTTATTGTTTTTAGTTAGAGCAATCAAGACCCTTAACTTCGAATCTTCTTTGATACATCTTAAATGTAACAACTAACAAGAATTTATAGGATAAGAAAGAACAACAAAATAAAAATACACTAGCTAGAGAAACGCTAGAAAAATAACGAGGACTTCGTATAACGCCTACAAAATTGGACAGCAGAGATAATACGTACACTAACAATGTTGCCCAAGTTTATTTTTTAGTTGAAAAGCTGTAACGAATTATATACAGAGCACATACAATTACCAACATTTATTGCAGTCGCACTATTTACTACGGCGTACACTACTTGGCTCGATGCCAATGTGTGCCAATTACAATCATTTAACTATTTCTTAATTCCAATAAATCTATTATAGGTGCATTAAGTAACTCCATCGAATGAAACCGATTGACCGCGCGGAGCATAATCGTTTAGCACGATAAGACACGGTTGCCCAATACCAATTGATTGATACGTAAATAAAGAGTTCTTATTCCGAAGATAAAATATCAGGCGAAGATAAATTATCAGACTGCTATTTCTATTAATTTACTTTGCGAATTATATTAATTTGCGTATGCGTTACGTTTATTACATATTTGTTGGTTATATTCTGTCAAATATTTGCGAGTCCGTTTTAGAATCTGGTACCTGAAAGCAAAACTATATTTTGATTGTTTTTTTAAGACATTCTCATTAAAAGTCGATATAGTGTTATTCATGAACAAAATTTGAAATCTCGTTAGAAACCCACTATAAAAAGAGATAACTTAATTAAAATACAATATACAGTTATAACAATGCAACAATTTAATTGAATATGAATATATAAAAATAATCCCATTATTCATCTAAATTTTTGAAAGTGCAAAGCAGAATACACTTACATTACGTTTAATCTTATGTTGTCCTAAATTTATAGTTTTAGATAGCATCACTTCCACATCGCTATTAGACAAGATTTCACTTTCAATTATTTAAATTTTTTAATATCATAGTAGCACTTTTTTTTAGTTTCAAAATTTATGTTCTTAAATTTACTATTAGATTTTAATAGTGTATAAGAGCCTGCAGACTCCTGGAAGGTTCTAGATCTAGATAGATAGGATATAGATGTATTCGTATACGTATGCCCTCCGACGGCCATGACAATTTTCTAAACAAATGTATCTCAAATTTTATTTTGAAAATAGAACCCTAATAAAATGTGTAGCCTACTGAATATATTATATGCTAATATTGTAGTAAAACTCCACCAGACCTAACCTAACATTATGCTAATAATATTTTCTAGAGAGAAGATAAATATTATAATGTTACACACACAACGGGATCATATTTTCCAAACACAGAAATCAGGTGATACTATAAATTAGTATAAAACGTAAGTCTATATTATATAGCATGACTCTCACACTCACAATTTTGAGTCCGGTACAGGTTTTATAACAACCAAAAATGTATTCGGAGTTTAAATTCCAGGAGTACCTATAGTAACGCCTTTTTAAGTATATCGATCAAATCTGAGTGGCTTACTAACGTATCTATTGTGCTACAGGCTACAAGTTGCAATACAAAAAAAAAATAGATAATACTATTATTGCGTTTCCTGCTTGACTCTATACGGTAAAGTATGAGCTCATATTATTATTGCAATTAGATTCCGTTTAACAAAACCAATGCACTTGAGTATATTACTGTGTACATTACATTACAAGCTATAAACCACAAATTAAACAAAAGATCTGAATCTCTGCATGAAAGATTTAATTTCGTGATCTCATTAAAAACGAATGAAATCAGTATTCGGTTAAAACGTTCTTGCATATCGCCTAGTTGAACGCAATTTTATCAATGAAACTACATATTCAAATGAAGTAACAATTGACGCTAAATAACACAACAAACAAATAGACGTTGGCGCAACAATAGTGAAAATAAACGTGAGAAGCGACCGAAGTGGAGGGGCGTGTAACATTCAGTTACTCCTCAAGCCTGGTACTCAGTTCAAATATTTCAGTACATTAAGTATCAAGTGGAGTTACATATTGTAACATATATTTACATTAAATATAATAATGTTCCGAATAATATCTGACAGTGCCAGTAACAAAGAAATTATGAGATAAACAAATGACTCTCGGTACCAACATGTCTTGCCAAGAAATAAAAATCATGTTTTAGAGTAAATTTTCTTTTAAAAAAACAATAAAGAAATACGTCATAGAAGGTAGTGAACGGGACAAAACACTACATGGATGTTAATTAATTTATTAAGAGTACGGTCACTCATTATTAGACGATAATTTCCATGTATAGATAGTATTTGTGCAATAAAGTTTCAAAAATTACTCGTTATAAAGAACTGATATTTACGGATATGAAATTTGCGTTTTTGCGGCGACCGGTAGCAAATCGTTCGGCACCGAGATTTCCTTTTCCGTCAGAAATAATATAAAACTTTCGAAGTATCAACATACTAAAAATAGAAAATAATCGTTAAGAAAAAGTTGACGATATGGTGCTGAGCCCAATAGGAGGAAATAAAAGCAATTGCTAACATGATTATTATTTTTGGACATCGTAATTCTGATAATACGGTCGCTCAGTTTCTATCTCACCAAGCAGGTGCCCTTACTTATACAGTATACAGGTTTAAACTAAACAAAAGAGCAGCTGCGTCCAGAGACATACAACAACGCATGCACTTAAATTCCGTCACTGACTTTTCAAACTGCCACACTGATATGTCAAACAAATTTTCGCATACACATACCTATGCAACGATAATAATAATTATATTTCATTGCAGGAAGTAGTATATTATATATCAAGTATAATATTAATAAAAAAAAATATCAACTTACCTCATGATCCCTATAAAAGGGCTCCTGAAGGTTCTCCGGGACCCTGTTGTTGAATGCCTTCGACAACAACCACTTGATCGACGCCCGCTGCTTTGACTGAAACAAAAAAAAACAAATATTTAATTTTTATTATGATAATAAATTATATCATCATACATCCTTATATACCTACACTCCTTATATACCTACTATATGTTACAGATGCAGTGTGGGATCGTGTAATAAAATATTGTTACGAGCAAGATATAATGCCAAAACAATTTAAGGAAAATTATATACATCCCAAACGCAATAAATACAACTTTACTTTTTAATAATTTTCTTTACTCGAGACATAAAGAAGAGAAATTGCACAGTAATATAAAGACACAAAACAATCCATGATAGTGCACATAATCTATCATTTTCATGGGTCTCACAATTTGAATGAAAGCAAATTAATAGATTGTGATAGAGAAAAACAATATCACAGAACGGTAGCTATCGTTATACCTCTACACTAATAACTAACCGTAAATGAAAAGTGTTTTATCTCTAACAAATTTTTACAACTGCTAAACGGATTCTAATAAGATTTGACATGAAGGAAGATAAATTGCATCAAAAGGATTGACATAGGCTTAGAAAGGTAAACGAAGTTCTCGGTAATAGCTAGTAATAATATATATGAGGAATGTTCCCTGAGATCAAACCTAACGATAAAACAATGTCATATGGATAAAAATGCTATGCTACTATCGGACGGACAGATGGCACATATTGAGCATTAGCATTATACAAACAATGTGTTCCAGGAACGTACGATTGCCACCTGTACAGACAAGGGACATCGTCGGAGTACTTTTAGATGGTGTTCCATACATTTTATACCGGTCAGTTTCAGCATCGGCTACTTATACTCGTACTTTTTAATACTAGTATTTCAAACTATGACCGAATCTAAACCTACATTTGGGAGTTATTTACATAAACAAATACTACCCATAAAAGTAGTTTAAATTCTATAATATATGAGGTATCAATAAATCAAGATTGATTCTAAAATGGAATATTTTATTAGTAACTGTTTTTTTACAACAATAATAAACCTATATTACTTATTTTATTGCTCATTTGAGTAAAATGATACAATTATAATTTTATTGTATCATGTATATTAACAGCATTAACAGAAGCTTACAAATTGAGTATCTCATATTTAGGTCTATGATTAGCCAAGAGAACAAAGACGTCAAGGGCTGTTCTTATGTCATCTGCGCATGCCCTTTAAATTCAACGTAAGTATTTATCGTCAACAAATGCAGATGCATTGCCACGTGTACATGCGACAACTTGTCGCTTGCTAATGACGAACGGTGGTAAAGTTTTTTCACGAATAGTTAACTACGTTCCATTACTGACAACTTGAATAGAATGACCTACGAGCAAGTACAGTCGCCAGGAAAAAAAATAAGTTTACAAAATAATAATATCATTTTAAAATTAGGTTTATCATTTTGTTTTAAATATAGATACGATCCAGAGATACGATCTTATGTGTCAAAAATTAAACTTGTTATGATGAAAGAAAGAAAAACATTTGTAAGTGTACCAATTTATATATTTTTTTATAGTCAATAATTAATTTACAATTATTTGTTATGTAACTGAAATGGCAAATAACCTGGCCCAACTGACGGTAAGTGGTAACTATCGCCTATATACATAATGAACAACACTATATACATTACGTTATTATGTAACGCCCGTAATACAACTAGCAGGGGGGAAAGGGATTGTTAGTAATGTGGACTCTCATTGCTAGCAATGTACCATGTCAGGTTGACCTCTACGCGGTTCCCCCTGGAAACCATTGCGATATATTCCAGATGAATTTATCACGATGGGCTAACTGACCTGACCTCATTCTCATCTTATCATCCTCCACTGGTGCCCCACCAGTGTAAACCGTTAGCGCAGGCGGGTGCACCATTTCATTATCATATACAAAAAAAAAAATACAACTAGCAAGTCGTTATTAGACTAAGATATCATGTCTCTCATCCTATAATTTCGCTGCTTTTTCTCACCCTATAATCGAAACATAAAACAAGCAATTCCAGCAAATTGCTAACAAAGGAAGCTTCCTTAGCTGAAATATCGGAGACGCAGACGTTTTTTAGAGTCCATCGCGGTAAAAGGTCAAAGGTAAAATTTAGTACAATGGAAATTATAAGATATGACGTGACATACAGCGTCTAAAAACAAAAAATTGTTGTAGCGGTTCTGATATCGATTGTACGACACCGCTGGCGATCGCATTGGGACAATAATTACCAAGCGTTATGGCAATGTCCGCTTATTGTGATCGCATTCATCAGTAAGTGCCACCGAGCTAGGTCCTTGCCCTAATTTGTTTGTCGCTCTACGCCGTGCCGATGAAAAGCATCGATGTAAAATTTGAATACGCGAACGTAATTATATTTCAGTTTCAACACATATTGTGCAATTCCTATTAATTGCTACTGATATTTCTAGTATTAGTATAAATAAAGATATTTTTTACTGTCGATATTTTCCAACCTAATTTCAGGAAAATTTGATAGATTCTTGTTACATATTATAAAACCTGAAAAATTAATCTACGCCGTTTTGAAAATATGAATGGCAACTAAAACTATTAAAATGCTTAGCGATATGACTGTCTTTTATACTAGTTTACTTAAATTGTTTAAATTATTCATTACTGAATCCAGTTCAACAAGTGTATATAGACATAAAAATAGGTGTTCAGAACATATTACACTTATAAATATAAGTAACTCAGAATTAGGTTACAGATGTTTCGTTGTTCAATATAGACAAATATATTTTCACAAATTAATGTCAATAATTTGAAAGTATAATATAAAACAGTCAACGGAATAAATTACATAAAAATATATGACATTATTTGATGGGCAATGTCATTTAAAATAGTTAAGAATTTGTCTCATGATAAGAGATTAGATTATAAAATCAAAGATATTCTATAAATTACTAGAAAGTGTCTGCCCGCTTCACATCGATTCCAATGCGGACGAGGAACAGAATAGACTACCTCCGCCATCTATAGCAATTAGCAACCTTTACATAAAGTAAAATAAATCATTTTAATGTTAGCTCAGTTAATTAAATGTGTAATTAAAACAAGACTTGTAAAAATACACATAGGACCTTGATTCTTAAAATATAAGAAATAACGGAATTCATAATGATAGATTCATGAGATAAATAAAAAACTGAACAGTGCTAAACCTGCTTAACTATTTGAAATGCAAATAAGTTTTCCAACGCAGCCATGATGACAAAATATGTTCATCCAAAGACGGATAGGTTTTTACTATCATACTCAAGAATATTGGGTATGTAACTTGTACACGGCGAAACTAAATCCAAAACACATAATATGCGAACTAAAGTAACTCATATGCCGAAAGATCATTAAACATTTAGCTTATAGCAATATAATTCGAGTAGCTTATAAACAGTGTGATGTGTCGACCGACCACCCACGACTATGTACAGATCACAAAAATGTTTTAGGCTCTGAATAGGAATAATGCTATTAGTACCAATCCATTAGGTCCACGTCCATGCGATCCTACACAGAATTATAGTAGATAAGTTGTGAATTTGCCACTATGAGCAAAGTAAAAAAAATGCAACCTGAGTAAATGCTTATTTTTCATCCTTCACCGATTCTCGTCACTGTACATCATAAGTATAACAGCATTAAAAAATTGCTTTGTGTGTTCATAAATAAGTTCCACCAGCTATAAGGTACAACCCGATTTCTATACTTGAACTTTGAAATAAATATTGAACCTATATGGCAACCTTTTTTCACCATTGTTAAAGATTCTTACAACCTTAGTTATTTCCTAAGGGCAATACTAGATAATACAAGAATATAAGTTTGTTATTGATAATTACAACAAACGCCATATCTTCGTCATCATAATTTAGCTAATCATCGTACACACCAAAAGAGGCATTCAGCAAGGCTGCCACAAATTGCAATATAAATGATAATAATTGTTTAGAAGCCAGTTACAATTAAATAATTCTTAAGTGCTGTCGCACATTGAGTGTTGTAGAGTCGAGTATTACTAGCTTAGCTGTGTAGTATAAATCCTATGGCCATCAGGCAGTACCGAAACATGCATGAAGTCATAGCCAGATGTTTCAATTTTTACATCCACTTGCTGAAATTGAAGCATATAAAGATCCTGAGTTAATTGAAGTTGATATCAATTTCAGATAAGGTTTTCATCATTAAAAAGTCAATTGTCACAAACTTTTACATATAATATATTAGAAGTATTAATTTGTGGTTTAAGTAAATAACAATGTTTATGCTAGTCTTAACTAATAACCATAATAGGTACTTATATCTATTAGCGAGATCCTATTAAATATTATAATAAATCAATTAAACTTGTGCATAGAGACAGAATCAACAACATACATTAAAATCAAACAAGCAAACCAAAATCAATGTGGACCATAGGGGCGTGTCCAACTGGTTTGTAAGCAATGATTCACTAGGTATTTGTTTTGCCGGTATGAACACGGAAAACCTGTCAAATTATACAAGTATGTGTATAATACTAGCGACCCGCCCCGGTTTCGCACAGATACACTTACAGTAGAGATTTCCGTTCTTTTCGAAAATAAAATTTTGTTAATGTAAGACGTCCTATGTTATTGTCGCGTTATTTGGCTTTAATAATTTTTAAAATTGGTTTATTATCTTTGCTTTGATCCATCCGTAATAATATTTTCTTTTTATTGAGTGACAATAAGTGCGACAACGGTATACGCTGGCCAGTGCCAGATCATAGGATGAGCAATACATCAGGTCAGATAGGCCATCGTGGTGAATTCCAGATGAGGAATTAATCACGATTGTTTCCAAAGGGGACCGCACGGTACTTAACATTGTTACACTTAAGGAAAGATACCCTTAAATTTAAGATTTTATCTAATCTACTTTTGTAGTTATAGTATAACATCATTACAAAATAGTATTGAAATCATTCAATGACAAATTGGCACAGTGTTAAATATTCTGC